AATTAACCTTTTTTTTTGTAGTTGGTACAGGGTCTACGGTCTCACTATGTAGATCGGACTCAGATCTACATAGTTTTTCAGCCTCCCAAGTGCTGGGATTACAGGTGCATGCCACCATGCCCGTACTTTATTGCAGTCACCCTGGGGGTGGGGCTGGCATGGCTGCTGGGGATCGAACCCTGGTCCCTGCATCTGCCTAAGCATGTGCTTTAATCCACTGAGCTATCTGGCCGGCCCCAATTAACCAATTAATAATCAAATATTTACTATATGACTAGTACTGGTTGGGTACTGAGTTGGGAAATGCTTTTAGGAAGTGATATCTGAGTGCAGATTTAGAGAAGGTCTCAAATCCATCTAAATAGACTAAACATAAGAAGCAGAAATAATTGCTTGTTTAAAGACTCAAAAAGTACAAGGATATCTGGATGGCTGCTGGTAGTTTAAAAAGATGAAAGCAGTACATAAAAACTGACGAGTTGAGGCACTAACCATCTATATGAATGAATACGGATGAAACACTAGAGAATTAAGGCTAATATTGCAGATTGGAGACTCTCTTAATATGGAATCAAGAAATTAGTTGAATTAATTACTTCCTGCCCAATAGGTTACTTTCCAAAAAATACTAAGTTACATAAATCATTTATCTCAGGGGTTGGAGAGACACCTCAGTAGAATAAGCACTTGCCTGACAAGTGCAAGGTCCAGAGTTCAACCCCTGGTTCCGCAAAAAATAAATCATTTATATATCTGACATTTCTAGCATATAGGATGGTGCCTGGAAAACATGAGTCAATAATTTGTATTGAATAATTGGCAGAATAAACAGGTAAGAATCTTAAGGGAATTATAAAATCATATTTTTGTCTCAGAAAAATCATTTTGGTAGTAGAGAACAGTTTGGAGACAAATGGGTGCATTAGTTAGCATGGGCTGCCCTATCAAAACACCATAGCAAGAGTGATTTAGACAGCATAAATTAATTTTCTCAAAGTTCTGGAGGCTAGAAGTCTGAGATCATTACATGTGTCAATATAGTCATCTTCTCGTGAGGATTCCTCTACATGCTTGCGGACAACTGCCTTCTTATTGCATCCTTACATGATAGAAGAGAGGACAAGCAATATAGTGCCTCTTATAATAAGGACACTAATCCCATCACAAGGTCCCATGCTCCATAACCTAATCTAAGTCTTACTTTCCAAAGCCCATGTCTACAAACTATTATGTTGGTGTTGGGGCTTTGATATAGCAATTTTAGGTGGATACGGTTTATCCCATAGCAGTAAGAAAAAGATACTAGAAGGTGAATATGATACAGTAGTCTTTTCCCTAATCCTTTTAATCCAAGGAAATTGTCCCCCCCAACCACTTTATGTCCAAGCCTTTAGTGAATGCCTGAAACTGGCTGTTACTGACCCAAATATATTTTATGTATTTTCTCACACATATAAGATAGGATAAAGTTTAATTTATAAGTTACACGATAAGAAATCCTTAATAAAAGACAACTGTAATGGTATAATGAAAACAATATTAATAATGTCAATCTGATAACCAAAATGGCTCCTAAGTGACTAATGGGAGATAGGATATATCACATGGATGCACTGGACCAAGGGATAATTCATATCCTGGGCCACATGGAATGGAAGGGGGCATGTTTCATCATACTATTTGGAATGGCATACAATTCATTATTTGCTCATTTGTTGGAGTTTTTTGTTTAATATTCTTGGACCACAATTAGCCTCAGGCCCTGTGAATAAGAGGATTTACTGTAATTCACTTAAGAAATGATGAAGATGGGTAATAGAGTGGTGGCAACAAAATTGGAGAGGAAGGGTTTAATTTGAAAAAAATGTTAATCATTCTGATATTTATTAATATTAATAACCTTTCTGAGATATTCCCTCTTTTTTATTTTTATTTTTTATTTATTTATGTGGGGGTCAGCTCAGCCCACGGGGGGGGGCTGGCAGGCATGTGGTGCTGGGGGATTGAACCGCGGTCCCTGTGCTTTGCTAAGCTTGTTCTAAGTAGGTGCTTTAGACCACTGAGCCATCTCACCAGCTCCTTTCCTCTTTTTTGAGTTTTAAAATTAAAGATTTTTTTTCCTGGAGTAACTTTACTTGTATGTCATTATCTTTAATTTTGTTACAGGGTCTCACTGTGCAGCTCTGACTGGTAGTGATCCTTGTTTTCAGCCTCCCCAGCACTGGGATTATGGGTGAGCGCCACCACACATGGTCTCAGTGACCTACTCAGTGTGTCAGGGGCGGGGCTGGTGTGGCATGTGGTGCCAAGGATCAAATCCTGGTTCCTACTCTTGTCTATGTACGCGCTTAGTCTGGTGAGCTATCTTGCCCACCCTACAGTATCTTTAGTTTTAATGTAAAAGATTTTTGAAAGCCAAATTGAGAATAAAGGAGTATTTTAAAATTAGCCACAAAATTTATTAAACATAGTACAGAAATATTTTAATGTGAAATTGAGTCTCAAAAATGTTCAAAATACTACACATGAATTTAATAATTTTCTTTACAAGTGCATATAACAAAAGTGAGAAATCCTGTATTTCAAAGGGAAGTTAATCTCAGAAACAAATTTATTTTGTTTTTATATGTGGCTTTTGTCAAATATATAATAAATTTTATATTTCATAATGCTTATTTTTATAGCATATTAATTATAAAGACTGATAGCTAATGTTGTTCTTCTTGGTCAGAATACTGTGTGTAAGGTTTATCCGTGCTGTGTTATGTGCATTGCTCATGTGTTAACACTTAAGGCTTGGATAATTTCATGTTATTACCAGAGCAGAGTATGGACAAATATATTTGTATAACTACCTGGCTCTGACATAAGGAAATTATGATAGTGTACCTAAGGTACTGCTTTGTAAATTGAGGAAGACAAGTTGTTACATGATTGTCAGCCTAATAATAAGTTTTTAAAAAGACAATGTTCTGATTGCTGTGTCAATATTAAATTTATGGTTTTTTTTTTTTGTTTTTTTTTTTCTTCCTCAAAAGCCTTCAGGGCACTTGTGGCCAGCGGGAGAGTTGTGAGGTTCGAACTCCAGCAACCTGAGGCTGACAGCTTTGTGGAAGCAGCCACTTAAAGGACTGAGCTATGGCCAGGCCCCCCAATATTAAATTTAGAAGAGCTTTGTATTTGTAATAAGGCACAGGCATTAATACTGGCCCTTCAAAATGTCAAGAACTTGGTAGTACTACTATAGCACATTGTTTTGGATTATTGTAGCATGCTTTTTGGCTTGTAAAAGAAATATACACTTGCCATATTTGGAAAATAAAAAATGCACAAATAACAGAAATATCATTCAGAATCTTACTATTTGAAGATAATCATATCATAATATTCTTGTGTATTTCTTGTAGACTTCCAAATTTGTACGTATTTGTAATTTTACATGATTGTGTAACTTTAAAAAATTACATATTGAAATAGCTATGTAAGTACAGATCTATAGCATCACCTTCAAAGGCTGTGTATCAGAACTTCTTTGACCAATAATTTTAATAATTGCTTACATTTATTGCTTACTACATGCCAGACAGTTACAGGCTTTTACTTGTATTAGTTTATTTGATCCTCAATCCCTATTATTATTGTTTCCTAGAGATACGGACACAAACACTAAGATATTAAGTAATTTGTCCGATTTCTTAATATTGGACATTATAGTGAACAATTAATACTTTGGTATGATAAACAGTGTTGGCATGTATACCTTTGTTCATGTTTTCAAAGAGTATCTTTATGGTAAATTAAAAAAATAACCAAAACCGCTGGGTCCAACAGTATTTACGTTTTAAAAAGCTTGTTACAGGCTTCCAACTCTTGGGATGACTGTTAACTTTCTTTCACCCAACAATATGTGGCTGTACAGTTTCCTATATCCCTGATTCTGTTACTTTGAATGATGAAAAACATTATCTGCTACTTTAATTTGCATTCTCTCTTTGGAAGTGGAACTTCATTTTAAGCGAGCTTTTGCAACAACGCTTTGTACACTATGAAACTAATTCTGTCTTGCCAGTATTTCCACGCTGTTTTCTGAAACGTTGTAAGGTAAATGTATTTAACTTCTAACTTATGCGCAAAATGAGCTTACGAAGTTTGTTCTAAAGTGCAACGCAAAATGTAGCAGATGTTGTAATTTCTCCAGGACAGTGGATGATTTTTGCTACATCCACTTATATTAAATTCATACTTGGAAGTTGCTGGGAACCGCGAAAATTTCTAGCATCCTTTTCGGCTTTCTTTCTTTTTTCTTTTGCTTAGTTTCACAAGGCTATCATCTGGGGCCGTGAAAGACCCATTTTGTCGTGATCACGGTTGCTGGGTGACCGCACGCTTAGTCAGGAGGCGCCGACGCCCCGCTACAAGCTTCCCTCAGACTCGGAAGCCCGGCGCCTGGGGACTCCCGGGAAGGCAGCGCCCTGACACTCCCCTCTTCAGGGATTCCAGCCAATTCCTCAGCTCATATGACTTCATCAACCAAGTTCTTGTCGCCTCACCCAGCTGATGAAACTCAAGAGGTTTTTTTTTTTTTTTAACTTACATGATCCAAAGGAGTTTCTCTCCCCCTTTGCCTGACCACAGTGTCCCAGAAAGGACCGAATTTGGGGCTGGGGGAGAATGAAAGGAATTCCTTGGATCCTTATTCGACCCTTTTTCTCTTACTAAGTCTCTGATTCACTACTGGGGTTGATAGTCGCCTTTGGTGCGCCTGAAGGACCCTGCTCTCCGGAAGTTTTTGGCCAAGGAAAAAGCGGAGAGTGCAGGTATTAATCTTACTCTTTTATGTAAGTAATCATAAGACTAGCTAGGCTGAGGGTGTGGCTTGCGTGGTTCTACCCTGACGGGAGAGATTCTGGATAGATTCGCAACAGGCAGAGCCGAGGGCGCCTAGATTCCCGACATGCTCCGCGCGGGGACCTTCAACGCTTCTTTGCTGTTGCCGCCGCCGCTGCTGCTCCCGCGGTTGCTGGGGGTGGGTGAGAGGTGGAGCTGTCGCGTTCCAGGTGCTGTCTCTTGTTGGTTTTACCTGAGGAGCGTTCCTTCTTAAGTCGCACCCTGACTCCGGCGGTGCCAAGGGGGAGTCCCTGCGGACACCTCGACACGCAGTGGAGATGCCTCTCTTTGCCACCAATCCTTTCGACCAGGATGTTGGTGAGTGTTACTGCCGCTCGCTGTCCGTTGCCCACCCGACTGCAAGCCCATTCTGTCCGTCCCCCGCGTGCATTCTGGACCCCGGAGGCACGGTCACGCCCTCCCCCTTTCCTAAGATTCTTTACTGGGTGAGAGCTTGGCGCATCCTCTTTGAAAGTACTGGGACTCACAACCTTTGAAATGGGCCTTTGAGGCAAGACCGTGGGTTTCGAAGGAGCTGCTCAACGGGTTGGTGTGAGGGGCCTCGGAGGAGCATCTGGTGTGGCGTCTGGTGCTGGGACTTTGCTTCTGGAAGCACAGCGAAGGGCCGAGGCGTATCTCCGGTAGAATGGAATTATAGATCCTGTAGCAGAAGCGTGTCTGTGGCCAAATGTTAAGCATGTGAAACCGGGAGAATGTCTCAGATAAGGTTTTTTTGAGGGGGACTGAGAATATATCTTTTTTATTGTTCCTTGGAGGAAAGAGCTCTCTCTGATCAAGGGTAAACTGCCAGAAATACTGGGGAAGATGAAGATGAAATATGTGGTAATAACAGAATCTGAATTGAAGACCTGAGCCTTTGGGATGCTTCTCTCAGTTTGGGGCTTCATACAGTGAGAAATATTAAAAGAGAACTTGGAATCTGAAAATACGTCTTAAATGCTGTATTTGGGCCAGGGAGATAGCTCAGCGGCACAGCACCTGCTTGGCGAGTGCAAGGGCTTGAGTTCGATTCCCAGTGCCCCTTCCTCCCAAAAAGAAATGCTAAACTTTTTATTGCTTCTTGAATCATTGGTATTATGTATGATCAGTAGCATGACAATTCAACAAGCTATGTTTTGTGTACTTATTGTTACATTTATTTTCTGGCCTAAAGATAATTATGGGATTTGAATATCTGGGTAGACAATTAAATTAATTAATTAATTAATTAGGTACAGGGTCTTTCTACACAGATCAAGCTTATAGTGATCCTCTTGTCTCAGCCTCCCCAGCGCTGGTATTACAGGCGTGCACCAGCACTGTCTTGTTGGCGTGTTTTGTTGGCCCACACTGCATGTGGGTGTGATACCAGGAATGGAACCTGGGCCCTTCTGATTGCCAGGCAGGAGCTTAGACTGCCAAGCTATCACCCCAGCCAATGGGTAGAGAATTTTGCTTTGAATGTACATAGGAATTACCTTTGTACCAAAGTATGAAATGAAAGCAGGGAACGAATACCATATTCAAGTTCTGTAAGGTAGAATTTGATAATTACTGTAGTGAAGGGATATAAGGCTAACATTACACATATGAGCATGTTTTGGTTATGAAAGGTGAGTTCTGAATTTTGTTCTTTGGGCTCTTCCTTACCACATATTGAAACTTAGAGATTTGGGTTAAGACTACAAAACAGTTCACTTCTGTCTCGGCCACTATCTAGGTCACAGTAAAAATCGGAAGTAGAGGCAAGGTAAATTCTTTTGAGTTCCAGTGTCCTCATCTTTATCTGGGAAAAACACTTGCTTCTGTTCTGTAATTAAATGAAATAGTATGTGTTGAGCCTATACAGTGCCTTGTATAATTAGATGTTAGCGCCCCCCCCCCACTCCCCTGGTTTAAATGTCCTGAATCTTAGCAGTGGATGAAATTTTAGTGATCACAGATAATATTAAATAAGTAATGAATTGGAAAATTGCATTTAATAAACATTTGGCTCATTATTTACAGGACAGTTTTCATTAATGTAAGAGAAACAGTGATGAACAAGATCTCATACTGTCAAAGAATTGTACAACTTATTACATCAACTGTGGGACAAATGCTTAAAATAAAACACTTCTGTTTCTAGCACTTCTATGTAGCTTTAATGATCCTATATAATAAGCTGTCAGTGAACGAGAATCAGCTTTATATTCTATTAACTGGTGAATTTGTTTTTCTAGTACTAGGAATTGAAACCAGGGCATGGTCTGCTTTTTTTTTTTTGACAACACACCTAGGCATTGGATTCTGATGAATTTTTTAATGCTAAACCTGTTTCTTGAACATACACTACCCAGTTTGAACACAGGCTCCTTCTTGCCTTTATGTTTTTATTTTTCTTATCTTTCTGCATAGCCTTGTGTTTTGTTTTATTTTATTTTATTTTTTGGTGGAACCGGGGATTGAACTCAGATCCTTGTGTTTGCCAGTCAAGCACTTATCCTACTGAGCCATCTCCCCGGCCCTTAGCCTTGTGTTTTAATTCCAGTTTAGAACCAACTTGTTTTACCTGAACTGTTTCCTGAATGCTGTTGCCCAGGGTTTGTCATTAGGAAGGATATTGACCTTTTGGACTAGATAAATATCTTTTGGGGAGTCTACCCTACACAGTGCAGGGTGTTTTACCTCATCATTGGCCTTTACACACTGTATACCACTTGGCACCCTGCTGCAACTCATGATTTGAAACATCTCCAGGCATTAGTAACTGTCCCTTGGACTATGGTCAAAGTAACTCCCAGTTCAGAAGGCTCCTCTAGTCTACCATAATATGTGCCTTTTTACAAATTCTGCAAGTTATTTTAATATTTGTTGGTTTGTTTACCAGATTATTTAGCATTAGAGACAGTAATACTCTGTTTTTCTCCTTATTCTGGTGATTATTACCTGTTAGGTGTTATACATTATTCAGAGAAGCTTATTTTTAAAGTTAGTCAAGTTTTATATCTGGATCAGTTCTCTTGTGATCTATATATTGAATTATCATAAAATATTTATCTAAGAAGAGCCTTTGGTAATCCCCAGTTAGTAATCCTTGGATGGTGTCCAGTAGATTCCTATGCTGTATTTTTTTTATTAGTAGAGCATATAGGATACGTTATGTAGACTACAGAATAAATTTAACTGTTCCTTCTTGCCTTATCCATCAATGTGTCAGTTATGTTAAATAACCCCAACTAATTCATTTAATGGAATCATCAATCACTTTATGTCTGTGTATATTATACTTGTCATAGTTTGTGCCTAGTTGTCCCCCCCAAAGCTTCGTATAGTACTGGGGCAACTTCTAGAGGTTGTCTTTAATTCATGATCCAATGATGGGAGTATGGGTTTGAGTGCTGCTGGGATTATAGGTATAAGTGCTGTACCTGTGGGTAGCCGGAATGCAATATAAGGAAGAGAGGCTTGCTTCTGCTGCTGTTGCCACTGCTCCTGTCTTTTTGCTCTTGCCATTTTGCTATTTTCTGCCACTAAGAACTGTTGTCCTCTGCTGTGTGGCACCTTGCCTTGGAGCCAGCTGATTATGGACAGAAACTTCCACAAACTGTGAGCTAAATAAACCATTCATTCCTTAATTTTGGGTGTTGAATGTTTTGTCCCAACAACAAGAGAAAAGTAACTGAGACAATACTCTTTCAAAATTGTTTTCAACTTCACATACTGAAATTGTATGTAATATATAACATTTTCTGTATTGAGACAAAGTATTGGTGGTAGCCTTTTTCTTGTAGAAATGCCTAAACCTGTGAGGATGAGCTCTGGGAGGATGGATTTTTGATTTGTTTACTGTATCCCTAGCATGTAGTCCAGTGTCTGGTGCTAATAAATACTCAGTAAACTTAATGAAAAAATCTATTTCATTCTAACATTGTATTTTTGCTTAACTCCTTTTTAGCGTTTATTGCTTCTCTTTTTTGCAGTATCTAAATGTTGAATGCCGTGAAAATCCATTCTGGATCCTTTTTTCCTTTGAAGTTTTTTTCTTTCAATGTCTTGAGAGGAAACGTACATTAAATTCTTAGCATTAAGAATTCAGATCCTGGAACTTGAGTTAAAGACACTGCTTGAATTCAAGCCTCAGGTTTGTTATCAGAAATGTAACTTTGGACTAGCTGCTTACTCTCTACCTCTATTTTCTTTAATATGTGATATGGGGATACTAATATTTCTTAACCTACAGGATCGTTAGAATTGAATTGATATTTGTGAAGCTCTTAGAAAATTTTCTGGTTTTATTTATAGAGAATTTTTTAAAAACCTCCTCTAATACCTTAACTTTCAGTACCATGAATACTCAGATGACTCCCAAATTTATATGCGTAGTCTTAGGCTGAGTCTAAATGTAGATATCTACCTACTGAGCATCTCCACATGGGTTCTTCTTCTTCTTGTTTGTTTTTGTTTTTGTTTTTGTTTTTTTTGGTGGTACCAGGGATTGAACTCAGGACCTTGCACTTGCCAGGCAGGCATTTATTCTACTGAGCTATCTCCCCGACCCCTCCTCTTGGGTTCTGATGGGAGTCTAAAACAAACATGTGAACAACCCAAATCTTAGTTTCTTTTTTTCTCCTTTCCTTTCCTTTCCTTTCCTTTCCTTTCCTTTCCTTTCTTTTCTTTTCTTTTCTTTTCCTTTCCTTTCTTTCTTTTTCTTTTCTTTCTAGTCAAGTTCTTATATGGAATGCAGGTTGGTCTTGAATTCATTTATGTAGCCCAGCTGGCCTTGAATTCATGACCATCCTCCTGCCTTAGCCTCCCAAGTGCTGGGATTACAGGTGTGTGCTACCATGACCAGCTCTGAACTTTCTCATTCTTTCATCTTTGCCTGTTTGAGTAAATGGTGCTGTTAATATTTCCTGCCACTCATTTCTGATGATTAAGATTCATCATTGCTTGTTTTTGCTTCACATTCTGTACCCATTTTATCAGTAAGATGTTTTGGCTCTACTTAAAAAAAAATACACACACACACACACACACACACACACACACACATATATCCAGAAACTCATCGCTTCTCTCTACCTGAGCAGTATTATCATATTTGGTCATTGTAACCTTTTTCTACGACTACAAGAGCTTCGTGGTATTCTTTTTTACTGCTCTACCACCTTACAATCATTTGTGAAAGCTAAGGCAACCTTAAAAAGTGTTCATGTTGCTTACCTGCTCAGAACCTCCACTAGGTAGCTTCCCTTAGCACTTGCAGGCAAATGCATATCTTTGTGTGGCCCACAGCCTGAACTTTCTGGGTCTCTGATGTGATTATGATAATCCTG